AGACAACCCCGTAACAATATGCGTTTTGTACTGCTGTTACACAGCACAAAACGCATAAAAAGAAGGGAAGAAAGTAAAGAAAGCCGGATAAGCAGGAAAAAGGAAGAAGAAAAGGGAAAAAGATGGAAACTGATGGAAAGGGGGAAGGGAGAGGTGGGAGAAGATGCCGAAGATGTGGGCAAAAAATTTAAAAAGGTTTAAAAAGATTTAAAAAGGAATCGTAGGAAACCTCGATGGAGGGGGTTTTGCCGTTGACTTTAAAATATTTTTTCCTATTTTAAAAGAAATCCTGTACAACGCCCTTCTGAGATAAAATCTATTTGCTGTGACAGAGAAAGTCTTTCTACTTACAAGACTGACTATTATAAAAGCATACCAGGCAATATGAATATTTGAAATAAACTGGGATTGCATAAACAAAAAGCACAAAAGCAGGACACAAACCTTTATGCGCCGCATATTCCTCAACGCATATGCCGAACGTATCCTCGAAAAGCGAAAGTGAGCGAACCTAAATTTGCAGACGATTGATGCTCGGCAACTTGGGGACAAAAATTTTCGGCACTAATGACCCTCCAAAAATGCAAATTTCCAGTTCACTAAAAAGCCACTGTTTTCTGGCTAGTTTTTCGAGTTAGCACAGTTCTAGGTGCAAACTTTGACGTGATCGTACACGCTGCACAAGCGTGTGCGGTGAAGCTTCCATCTTTGTGATCCCTCGCACTAGTGAACAATAATCCCTCCTTGAGATTATTCACTAGGGCGGGAAAATGCAAAAGCCCCAGACACGTAACAAGAGACAGATTCCCATATGCATTCACTCCGAGTCTTACAAAAAACCTAAAACACCGAAAATAGGTTCTGAAAATCGCTGTTTTTTTGAGTACAGGGTGTTATATCTCAAATAATCCGTCGTTTTTCAGCTAAAATACGAGATATGGCCGAATTATGCGGAAAAAGCAAGAGATTACAAGAAAAAATTACTTTTTCTTGTGCAATAGCAACGTATGGAACAATAAAAATACAACTTTTGTGTCGTAACATCACTTCGCGCAACATCGAAACCTGCAATGGTACTACGTAAAAACGGAAAAATTCCAAATTATCTGTCGGAAAAATAGTTATTTTTTTCAAAATTTTTCATTTTGTAAGTTAAAAAGAAAAAATTTGCAACTGTCTTTTGTTTATGCTATTTTTGCTTTTAATCAGTGCTTTTTAATCAAAAAATTATGCGAAAAATCTATAAATTATGCAAAAAATCAGTAAAAAATTATGCAAAATCTATAAATTATGCAAAAAATCAATAAAAAATTATGTAAAATCCATAAATTATGCAAAAAATCTATAAATAATTATTCAAAAAAGTGTTAGGTAATGTTTGTGTAGATACTCCTGATTAAGTAGGGCCAGGCCTTTCGATCCTGAGCTGTACACCTCCAGCTTATGAGCAGACTGGTCGAGCTGAACTAAGAATTTACGTGGATGTGACGAGCTTAATTTTAAGAAAAACAGTAAAAACAGTAAAATTTTGTAAAAAAAAAAAATGTGCAAACCTCAGCGATAAGCGTTTTTCCAGCGCCAGTAGGCAGTGAAATAATCATGTTTTTTCCGTGCACAAGGCGCTCATCGTTCAAACATTCTTCTTGCCATTCTAGACAAATGCATGGGGATCATATTTATTTTTTGCTAAAAATTCCTCAAAAAGTTTTCGAAATATCGGAAACTACTAACAAAAATTTTCGCAAGACTGCTAAATCCTGCTAAATTTCTGCTAAATTCTGCTAGAATTTTGCCAAATTTTTTCCAAATACACGGGGCTCATGTGTATTTTCACTATAGGACACTCAAAAATTTTCGAAATATCAAAAATTACAAATAAAAATTTTCGCAAGATTGCTAAATTTCCGCTAAATTTCTGCCAGATTTTTGCCAAATTTTACCAAATTTTTTTTCTATATTCAAATTTAGCTTACTATAAAATTTGGTGATGTTTCGAAGTGTCTTGTAGATGGCACAAACATCCACTTCTGCTTGATTCCCAAATGTTGATGTACTGGCCGACAGCCTGTGATCCCAGTTAGTCCGAGATTTCTGCAAACGTCAACATGAGCTGAAAATCCAGGAAAAAAGCCTGCATCTTTTGCAAAGCGGACAAACTTTCGATGAAACTGCAGAACAGTCCTTAATTTTCCCAAGCCAAACACATCTTCGAATTTTTTTGCGCAGCTCAAATGGTCCTAGATTTATCACCGACACGATTTTTCGCCAAAGATTTTTCTCTTTTGTCCCATATTTACCTTCATTCTTAACATATATGTGTATTTTCTACTAAGTAAATATCTTAGATAACTGTAGATAATCGACGTAAGAATTCCAGTTAGTACTGTTACTTGGGATGATCCCAAACGATCGACGCAATCGTGCCAGGTCTCTTGATCCTGAGCTGCATGCCTTCAGTAAATACCACCGCCTGTTCGATGTATGTGCTTCAGCTCTTCGAAGAGCACTCAAGTGGTTATTTAGAAGGGGAGCGGGGGAGGGGAAGGGGAAAATATGGAAAAATCGAATTTACAGACAAAAAGCATTGCGAAAAAGCCTAACAGATCCCCCAGGTACTTTCAGACATGTGTTATCCAACCCATTAGCTGTCCTCAGTATAAAAATAACTTGCTAGCGTAACTTCCCTCCCTCAAATAAAACCATTGGGAATTTTACTGAATGAAACATACAAAAAGCCAACTGTGAAAAAAAAAAGAATTTTTTAATTTTTTCGTCAAAAAAATATAGGATGGAAAACAGAAATTACTAACCTGTACCATGGCCTCTGATCGTTGCCTAAATTCAGGTTTTGGTCGCTTCACAAACGACATTTCGTCGCTTTGCCCAGTCGATGAACATGGCGAAACACTGTCTGGAAATGCACCTCAAAGCTTACTTATGAAAAAGTAAAAAACAAAGGAAATAAAAGTAAAATAACGTTGAAAAACTAAAATAATTTGAGTTAAAACAAGGGAAAAGAAGCAGAGCGGTGGGGCAAAAAAGGGGGAAAGAGGAAAAAAGAAAAATACGAACATTGCGAGCATGCAATTCCTTCTAAGTGACGGGCTAAGCATTAATTTATAAAATACCTGAAAGAACTACGGAAGAATCTTGCCGAGGAATTTTGAATTTCTTGAAGCAACCGCTCGAATCACCGGCCATGCGCCTTGGCCTCAATCTTGGCGACGTTCCGGCTAAATGTTGCCTGTAAGTCAGTCAAATTTGTAAAAAAAAACTCAAAATCTTTATTATCTGCTTAGCTTTGAGACCTGTACTAAATCATAAGAATTCTTTTATCGAATGAATGACACCCAAACTTATGAATGACAATGAATGATGCCCAAACTTATGAATAACGAATGACGACTTAATAATCATGAGAATTACCTTATCGGGATGAGCGATGCCCAGGCTTTAGGAAGCCTATCCTGTATCATCAACATTTTCACCCTTCTAACCCAACAATCACAGTTCTACCCTTTCTTTACCTGCGTCTTTCTCTATCTCTTTCTCTCTTCCTTTTCCATCAGACACTGCAACCGTCATACTGACAAGGTCCTGTTGCTCGGTGTTAAGTTAAGACGTATATGACTTAATGGACCGAAATGTTTTATTTCACTCTTGCCTCCTTTCCTCATTCTTTCCTGCTTTCTGTATTCAATACGCTTTCGACACTTTGGCAAAGCCAAGGTCAACCTGGTTGCTACAATCAGCTTAAGCACTTATCCCAGGATTTAGCTAGAAAAATCCGCCTCGAAAATCGGGCTGAGCAATTTTCTAAGGTGCGAGCGATCCGGTGAAGAAGTTATCCCGGGATTTCTCAATTCCGAAAAAGATTTACTAGTTAATCTTCATATTTGACTGATTCAAAAAATTCACACGTTTTTCTAACCTTGGTGATTCGCCTGATGTACTGTTGTCTGAGTGGTGCACGACCCCTGAGCCAGTGAGATCCTCCGCTGGTACGTCCTTCGTGAAACTACGAAAATCCTCCTGCGATGTCATGCTGCAGTCCCTGAGGCCATCTTAAAAAAACTGCAAATATTGCACTGTAAAAAGATATGTTTTTTTTTTCAAACAAAGCTATAAATCACGTTTCTTAAGATTCGCCGCAAACACGACACGAAAATGATGAATTTTAGCTCAAGATGGATATTTAAAGCAGCAGGACACGTGAATTATTGAAAAAGCAACGTGCTACTTGTATAACACTAGCACTTCCAATTTTTCCCCCAAAACCCCAAAGAAAGAAAAAAAATTGCATACAAAAAAAGTTAAGACTATCTCATCAATCCTCAAATAATTTGCTTTTCGGCCTAATCGAACAGAGTTTTAGTAGTTTCCTACCCAAGGGAGGTTAGAAGAAAAACGTAGGACGCTGCCATTGCAGTAAAAAGAACCTCTTTAACA